GCTACTTTTTAAACAAAAGCAAAGAAACAGAAAAAGAATGAAAGACAAAAACCAAGGAAACTGAATCATTTTGCCTTTAAACGTTTGAAATAAACCTAATCTGGAATACAGCTTGGACTGTCAAAGAAAAAGGTGTTTGTTTTCACAGGCAGCACTGTTTAAAAGACTGGCTTCTGAAAGGGAACTACCTTCAACTGTACCATGCTGAGAGATCTACATTGTGGATTTCAGAGGACAGGTGGGTAAGAAACGGCTACTAAGCAGCCTCGAACTTGAGCACAATTATAATACAGTCCCATCAAACCCTTTCTAGTAAGATCAACAGCTACTTTTTAAACAAAAGCAAAGAAAAAGAAAAATAATGAAAGACAAAAACCAAGGAAAATGAATCATTTTGCCTTTAAACATTTGAAATAAACCTAATTTAGAATACAGCTTGGACTGTCAAGGAAAAAGGTGTTTGTTTTCACAGGCAGCACTGTTTAAAAGACTGGCTTCTGAAAGGTAACTACCTTCAACTGTACTATGGATCTGTTACCACTGCTCTATCGTGTCAGGTGCTTTCACTAAGACACATGGGATAGTTGACAGCTAAATTAGGCCTAAAATAATGACTAATTTTATCTGGAAAAATGAAGCACTGACCTTCCTCCTCATCTTTGCTGCTGTCTTCAGATTCCCCAAATGGATTTGCACGCCTATGAAATAAGAATAAAAATTCTAATTACAGATTCTCATCACCACACACAAATGGCGCAATACCTAATTTTGTCCCTTGAAATTACTCTGTTAAAGGGATCAATCACTGTCTCCAGCCATACCTGCCACCTCTGTTCTGGTCCAGGAATTCTGTTGCAGGCAGTACAATATCAAATTGAATTGGTGTTCCAGGAGCAATGAGTTGTGTGGAGTCTTGAATGCCAGCTGATTCATTTGGAATTATTTTATCATTTTCCATATTCTTTACATTCTGGCTAAAGTGAAAAAAAGAAAAAAAAGTTTCAGCAATCAATGACACCCTATCTTTGCTCTGGAAGGGAGACAAAATTATTGAAAAAATCCAAAAGCGGGACTGAATTACTATACGTAAACATAAATAAAAGTAATTTTCTAGCTACCTGTTACTGAGGACTCTAATAAATTTTCTTTTTTATTTTTTTGTACCTAAAATTATTTAGGAAAAAAGTAAATGCTGGTATATTAAACCTGAATGCAGATCAACTCTGAGCACAGGCTGACTTTCAGTAATAGGTTCCCATTTGCCCCCCTGCCCTCGAGTGGCTGTATTTACAGCCGCATTATCAGTTCAAACAACAGAGACCTGGACTTGTGCCTACAGGCAATCCTGACATCGTTTTAAGATCTTACCGGCCACAATGTGTTGTTAGAATGTGACAGTTAAGAAGTGTTACACACTGGGTCAGATTCCTTCCTGCACTTTTTCCTCAAAGAGAATAAAATTCTAAGTTTCCCATAGCTACAGAAGTCATAACTATAGGCATCACTACGTATGGTACGCTGGGGTTACTAGCAGCATCCTTCTATTTCTAGAAAGGTTTCTGGTTGCACACAGATGTAGAAGTGACTTGGGAGATTACTTGTCAATGAAATAGCTATTTCCTTCACCCAGTGAAATAGATGGTAATACTCTTCTATATATCAACCTGTAATCAAAGTGAATAAAGTGGGAAAAAAATAAAATACTGTGAATAAAATCAGAAAGAAATTGACTGGCATTCCCCATGGCTATAGGGAATCTTCAGAATCTGTAAGCAATCATAATAAAGGGAACCGTAAATCATAGTAAAGGCACTGGCCTGAGAGGCAGAAGATTTGGAAAAGGTTTGCATTTCTAGGAGTAAATATCTGAGTAAGAATTTACAATTTTCTGACAAAATCTGCAGAGAATTCTCTTCACACTGAAGTCAGTGTGACACAAACTCGCCCTAGTTTATTTCTCACTCTGCTTCTGAAAGCAGGATTTCAGTCCAGCACTGGGTTTGAAAGCCAACTCTGATGACAAAGTCTGAAGAATTCCCACTGAGCAAGATGCTGGGATCATGTGGACACAAAGAAACAATACATAAAACATATATTTTTAATAGAAGCATATCCTAGAGCATTAGTAACAATTTTTGAAAGAGGGGAGCTTTATTGATTGACCTGAATGAGCACAAGAGAACAACAGTAATTATTCTGACAGCTGTGTAAGGCATATTCCTGCGACTGACTGACAGGAACTGCTTGAGGTAACATGCAAGAATACACTTACTTCAATGTACACCAGGGACTCTGCTGTGTTACCCACATTACAAATCACTCCCTTACAGCAAAGCACTTACAAGTAAAGCATTGTGGTTTTTTCCTGAAGAAACAGCAAAATCCCAATGGCAACCGCAAGGAGCTTCAAAGCTGTGATGTGGAGCAATGAGCGTTACCCTCAACATTTAGCATCTCCTACAGCTTTCAGAAGTAGAGGAATTTGCTGGAACACAAAGGCTTTTAAAGCCAGGGCCTAGACCGGGCTTTCTCCCGTGTCACTGTTGCCTTGTAAAAAGAGCACGACTGAGCACACAGTCTGTAGTCCGTGCAAGTGAGAATGTTACCTGGGGTGGTGAACTTCGTGTTTCTTCCCAAAGCTGGTAATAGGGGTCACTGCTTGTAGGGCTGTCTGATTTAACTTGATTGCAGCTGCCTAGGAAAACAAGACCAAACAGCTCCTTTACATATGTACTTCGCATTGCCAGGCAAAGAACAACGGGAAAGCAAGTTGGAAGGGAGGGAGTGAAAGATGGAAAGAAGGTCCCACCTCTGGATTGTCAGTGAGATAGATCTGTCTGGAGATGTTGTTGATGGCGCATATCCACTGGAAGGGAAAAATGAAATTGAACTCTTCAAGTTCACTTGTATAGAAGAGTAACAGCATTAAGAAAATATTTTTACCTCCTCATATTCTTTCTTGCTTTCTGCTTGAAGGGTTATACCCCTAAAATAGAAACATAGTGTATCAGTGCTAACAGTGGACACAGGATTGTTTCACTCCAGGTCTTACAATAACATCACCAAGCGTTGTACCTATTAACCATCAAAGAAACAAAAATCACAAATAAACTGCAGCTAAAGGTTATCACATGTGCTGTTCGGGCAGTTGTGGAGGAGGATGGGAAGGAACATGCTTTTAATTTGGAAACACCCTTCCGGAAACCCAGAAAGGCTTACTATTATAGCAAACACATTTTACATGAAACAGCATCTGAAAGGGGTAGGTGTGACTGGCTGTCCTCAAATAAAACCTGTCTCATACGCTTTGCCTGTAGGAGTAGTGATCTGAAAGCAGTATCTTCTGTCTTCGCAGTCTACAGCCATAACAGAACAATTGTCCAGGTCCTGAATCAATCCTCCAGCTACTGCTCCCCTTGGCTGACACATCAAGTTGCCACCTTGAGTGAAGAAATAGAGTCTTTCCCAAGTTGTAGTCACCAGACCTGTTTTACTAAAGAGAAGATGCAGTGATAATTTCTAGATAGTAATGAGTCTTTATTTCATATATGAAGTCACTTCTGAATATATGAAACTGCAAACATATCCCGATACTAATCCGAACTTTATTCTTAGCAGAGACTAATCTTTAATAAAAGCTGAAGAATTAAACTAATTCCAGACATTCCAAGTTAAAAACCTTCTCTGCAGTATCTCCTAGTTAAGGAATAAAAGAATCATTGGTATTGAGTAACTGCCATGAAATACTATTAAGATGGATTAAAGAAAAATAAAGTATTTTCAAGCTGAAGAGCAGCTTGAGCAATTTCAGCACAAAGAATCATCATTTTTAAAAGTCTCTTCTGCAAGTAGTATCTCTGAGTCCATCTTCTCCTTAGCTATGGAGTCCTATTATATTGTAATCCAGCTCTTAGAATGCTAAGAAGCTGATGGAAGATTTTATCTGGAAAATCTGCAGAGGTAACTGATTGCACAGTATACATTCAAAGTTAGGAACCTGCATTGCCCATAAAGCTTTTGTTTATGTAAAGGAGGTAATTTATGAAAACATGTATTAACCACAAAATACAGCTGTTTACTTTTGTAAACACTGTCTTCATTGGCCCCATCATTTTCTAATTTTTTAGCCACATGAATGCAGGAAATCATCCTCGTAGCCACATTCAGCCAGAAGTAAAATTCTGTTTTCAGGAAAACAGTATCAAATGCCTCTAATTTGGTTTAAGCTTTTAAAACACATTTCCAAAGATCACAGAGACAGTTAGGAGCTGAAGATCACAGCTACCACAGTGATTCAGGAGCCTCAAACATGAGGAATCTTTACAACCTAAAAAAAGAAAAAAAGTGTAGCAACTAGTCAGCAACTATGCAAACCACAGGGCAGCAACAGTCTTCTTACTTTCTAAGATTAAGGTAGCCAGCCTTCTGGATGAGATTTCTATTGATAGCAGGTGAAGTTACATCAGAATCTGGGGTGTAAACGGATTCATTGACTGCAATTAAGTCCTGCTGGGATACCCTCATTTTTTCAGCTTCAGCATCCAGTTCTCCCTGTATGCTGGAAAAAAGAAAAAAAAACCAACAACACAACAAGAAACCCAAATCCATCATTAGTCAATTTATACCAGGATATAGCTAACACCTTAAGCCAAAACGAAAAAAAAGTACCAGCTGAGATTATATTGGAGAGTAGTGCAAAGATAAACTTTATTTTTAGAATAGACTTTATAGGAAATATAGTTTAAGACTACATGTCCAGGGCTTTCTCTAAAGACTAGATTGCAGTTTGGAAAGAATGGAAGGAAGAGGCATACAATAGGGAACTACTCCCAGAAAATGTCACCTGTGCTTGAAGAGAAGAGATGCATATGCTCTGAAGGTATTAACAACGGTTTAAGGAAAATATGGCTATCTTTGGTGGGCTGGCAGCAAAAGCACGGCCAGGATTTCCCCTTGCTCTTTATTCTGAAAGCCCAGCTTGAAGATGTTACTTTCAGTATGTCTCATACAGTAGCTATGCTTTCTTTTGTGCAATTTGTATTCAATGTAGTTATCTTTCCCCAAACAGTATAGAGAGATAATGATCAGAATTATGAGATTGTTTTGCAAGACTGAAATAAGCACACGAAAAATGCTTAAGTGTTGAGAGTGAAGAATTAAGTTTATTTTTTGAGAGAGAGCTGCTAAAAGCACAGCTTGTATGAATTCACACTGCTGAGCATATATAGATACACTAGTAAGCAGCACAGTTCAAAGTAGGCTTTACTGTATCCAAGCTACCAGGAAAACTCATGGGGTGGGAACATAAGAATACCTGTCACTGCATACCTTCAAAAGTAATTAATAGCTGCACCTATGCAACTTTCTCACTGCTTCCTGCCCAAGCGGTTTTAGAGAACATGAGCACATAATACAGGCTGTACGCAGCAGGACCAGAGATCCATGTAGTCCACTATCCTGTCTCTAACAGTGGCAAAAAGCCTGTGGAAACGTACAAGGCAACTACACGTAATTCTTCTCCTGTTCTCCTCCCCAGTCTTTTGTAGAAATTGGTGATATCGTGTAACTGTTGAAGTCATCTAGAGACACAGTGCTGCAGGTGAGTCAGCACTAAGCAGTATCTGACTGGCCAGATGAAGAATCACTCTTGCATCATGGTGTTAGCCTGTTTCACCTTAGCTTATTTCCAGCTTTTCTGCATCTCTAGAAAGCTGAGACTTCCTAAGCTCCCACGTCACCTCCAAAATGAGACCAGCTGTGTGCACCTTACCACCTAGCAAAGTCATATAAGAGGCTGAGTTATAAAGGCTAAGTAACATAATCAGATCTGAATTAGACCATATTTTGCAAGCTAGTGCCTTTCAACAATATCGTTAAATGTCAGAATAAGAAGTATTTAAATTCCATTCTGAAATAAAATGAACCAATGCTGTCAGTTTTTACATAAGTGCTATTTCAATTAAACTTTTGATCGGTCATTTTTGTTGCACCACAAATTGCTTCTGACAAAACTTCCCTGGCATTTTCATGGTTCCCAAGACTGGATTCCTCTTCCTAAAGCATGTTTCTCTTATGTCCAAGGTAGAAAGGGGAGAAAAGCTGACAATTCTGAATTTATATGCATTTGTGGCAATTAGACTGAAAGTATTTTAATGATCTGTCCTCTCTTATGTATTTTTACAGTGTTAGCAATATTCACTGTATAAATGAAAATGCTTTTAAACATGAAGACTCAGTTTCATAATCGGTTTAACCTACATCGCTGCTGAAATTCTGTAAATGCACAATGGGTCTCATCGTCTTGTTGTTCCAAGAAAACAAATCTGACAAATAAAAAGCTTTTAGCTTGATTAACAAGCAGATCTGACTCACTGAGGCCTTGTGATCCCAACACTAAAGAAGGAAAGGAGTGGGCAGCGCAGTTTTCAGTGGCTGCGTAATTTTAATCAGGAAACCATGTCCTGTGTCAGTAATTGCGAAGCTGAACAGTGTCATTCAGAATTCTGCAAGCTTCTCTTTTGGTTTTTCCAAAGATATCACACTCCTGTACTAGTTACATTTGAGTTCTACATTCAAGCTTTTCTGTGTGACAGACTCAAAAAAAAGAAAAAAAACCCACAAAACCCCACTCAGCAAACCACCTGGTAAGCCTATTTTTGCTTCCATTTACTACTGTGTACTATCCAGAATTCAAATCCGTGAGACTTTGGAAAACAAGGGCTTACTCTGTGGTGAGGATCCAATGGCAGGATCCTCACTGTATCTCTTAAGACACAAGCAAGGTGCTCTAGCCTTACTAAATAAAGGGCACTGTTTCAAGGGGGTTCAAAATCTGTCCTCCAGTCTGTACAAATGCTATGTAGACTGCGGAGGGATTTATTTCAGAAGTGAGTGTAAAAGATATATAAATAAATTTAAATATACAGGACGTAAAGAATTGTTTAGTGAAAGAACCTCCCAGACAGGGAGATTACTTATAACATCGTTGTCAAATTGACAAGTATGCATTACTTAAAATGCTGCCAGAGTCAGAATAAGTAATGATTTGGATACAGTCCAATATGAAAGGTATGAAGCAATAGAGTGAAGGATTCGGTTTAGTTTTCCAGATGATTTAAAATAAGTGATTCATGTTCTCTCTAATATGATTACATTTTAAATGTAAAGTTTACATTTACAGGGACTTAATTATAAAGAAAGTGTCAATCTTCACTATAAGTGGGGGTGTGGGGAGGGGAGGATAAAGAAAGAAAAAATAATCGCAAAATTAGGAGTACAAAAGTGAGGCAGTTTACTGAAATAAGGACTTAGCCAAAGCAGGTTGAACTCACTGGATCAATACAGTCTATACTGGATGCAATGAATATGTTCTCTAGGGTAAGGAGTTTTGTTTGCCTTGTGTAGCTACAACATCAAACACTAGAGGCCCTAAATCCTAATTTGGGAGGTTAATGGGTTATTGGTACAGTATTATTACAGAAGACCCAGCAAGTGTAAATACCTCTAATTCAGAATGTACTTTATCTCTATTATATTAAATGGTTAACCCGTTTCAAGCCCAAATTCCATGCTTTTGTATCCATGAAAAGACACAGGGATGTAAGAAATCATGTGAACACTTTACAGCATATAGTTCCTGACTATACTGTAAAAACAGCGCTCTGCAGTGCTGTTTCAGCAATTTCAGACAGCAATTTCCTTTACATGTACAAACATACCTCCTTTCCACCTGCTGCTTTAGCAAAACACGCCCAACAATGCAATACAAGCATGAGAAAGAAACAGAGGCACTCTCTGTTATGTGCTGAAGGTTAGAGCACTATTGCTCAGAATTCAATGGAATGACAAAAGGAAACAAAAGTATTGTGTTACCTTTGAACCATGTCTGAAACAGATGACAAAAAGCTGTCCATTCTTTTGGAAAACATCTCCGCTCCTTTCTTAAAAAAGTTGATCTGAAAAATAAAAAAAAAAAAAAGGGCACTGGAAATTATCTTGGCTTTAGCAGACAAATAACAGATTGTGGGGACTGTGTTAACAGCACTCCCATTATGACTGATACTTTGGCCTGACGATGAAATACATGGTTAAAACAGCAGTGTTGCCTTTCTTTATATTTCTCACTTTTGCAACTTTCCACCCTTTTACACACATAAGCTATTGGCTGCTGACAGGTATGTTTCCAATGAATTTGCTAAACTGAAATAAGGGAACAGGTAGCCTTCTCCCATACCAGCACTGTGCAGAACTGGGTTCTAGCAGTTTTATGACCCATTACGTGCAATGCCACGATATGAAAAAGAATGGGACACAAATCACCTATTAGATTTAGTAGTCCAATGTGGACTACCAACTCCAACCTGGAAATTTTTAAACTGCTATAGCAAAGTCAGTCAGGAAAATGATGAAGTGTAACTGTGCTAGCTGAAGCCTCCAGGGCAATCGGTTATATCAACTACAGATTTACCACGGATTTTGTTCTACTGAAGGAGCTAAAAAAAGCTACTAAGGCCAAAGTGCACATTTTGTGACAGAAGATGAAGTCTCTTAGCTGGTATGGCTCAGCAGACACGCAACAGCAGCAAAGCACTCAGTGTAGAAGACTTGACCTTGGATTACCTGCTGGGGGCACACAGCCATCGTTAGGACGTACTGGCAACTGTGTGAAACATGGACGTGGCTACTGCATGTGTGCAATGAGGTAATGCTTTTTTAAAAAAATAAATAAAATCAGTGAACTACTCCAGGAAGAGATGTAAAAGCATATTCTTGCCTGTTAAGCAATTTTTTAGCCATTTCATCCAATTTTACTTGTGATTCCACTCCTTTTCCCTAACCTTGGGATGTGGGATTCCTCTTACCCGTAACTCAGATTTCTCCAACCGTGTTATTGACCACAGACTCCCTTTACAGACAGAGGAGAGAAAACACACTCTCTTAAAGAATGATTTGCCTATTCTATTTCAGAAGCCTACTTCAGGAGGGAACAGCTCTAAATTTCACTGATGATAGACTGACACGCCTAGCTTAGATGCTCATGTCAGTTTTCAGATAAATAAACCCTGTATTAGCCACCGCTTCTTCCAAAAATTCCTCATGGCCTGTTCATTCGTTGGAAATGTGATATATGAGACACGTCTTGAGTAATCAATAAAGAAAATATATACTTGGACTGAAGGGTGGCGGCTCATAATATTTAAGCATAAATATCAACTAGCCTCTGGCTACTCAGTTATTCCCATGACAACCTAAGACTTTCCTGCATAAAGCACTGAGATACGGCAGTTTTGCCAGATAAAATACAGGAAAGAAAGTTCTGTTTGGCTTCCAGTAAAGTAAACCAATGCAGTTCTTTCACTCAGTATAACTACAGCAGAGAAGCAATGTGAACTCCCATGGTGAGGAAAGTAATTGGATTCTCATTTATGACCTATTTTATATGGGGCGCATGATGTGCAAAAGACACAGGACAATGGAGATGATGATCCACGCTACAATCTCAAACAGAGCACTGCATCCATTTTTTCTGTTTTCATAACCCAATTCTCATTTCCCCAAAGCTTTCTTTCATCAATGTTGAAGCACAACAGACCCTTAAAATGGGTGGTAATGAGAATCAAATGCTGTGAAAATAGTAGTTTGTTGATCCTCCTGACATCCTGGAGAGTCAGATTATCAGTACTACTACCGCATTTTACAGACTTCAGAAAAGCTCTATCAAATTGCTGGCAGAATAAAGATTAGAAAGAGGATTTGCCAGCCTTATGCTCAATCCACTCTACTGTTTTGTGCTTCCAGTTCTCCAGTGCATGCTCTGTTCCCTATCGTGTACACTCCTCATCAGTATGCTGAACATTATGTGCCAGGAAGGAAACTGCTACATAGGAGAGTTTGTGCAGACAGAGTAAACAGTGGAAGTAAATGCTGCTGCACTGATAGCTTATCCATGAAAAATTAACCCCAAGCTGATCTTGCCTCTAAGTGTATTAGATTTTTTTTTTTTTCTCCATTGGTGTCTTTCCTGACTATCTAAACATCGTACTACCTGCCACAAACAGAATCAGTTGTTAGAATCTAGGCAGGCTGAATAAAAGCTTTTTCCCCCCTGTTATGATTTGTCAGTTCTCCAAAAAAAAAAAAAATATCCAGAACTACAATATTTTACTTTTCCCAGGCACATGTCTAAGTGATACAGACACTTTACTGTCCATACCTGTCCTCGTGTATATCCTAGCATAGGTTCCATCATTGCCACTCTCTTCCTGTACTGCAGAGCATTCAGAGCACAGTAATATTGCAGAGACGAAAGGTGCTGCTTTCTTCTTGCATTTGCCACTTCTTTTGCCACTTCTGCCTTAAGCTGCATAAAAATTGACAAAGAGGTTGACAAAGTGTTACTGTGCATATGAATATATTTACTGCTTATTTTCAAGTTATCTTTAAACAGCTCTCATTACAGAACTCCACATTAAAATGCAGGATGAGAAACTAAGAAAGCAAATCCAAAACCCAAAGCCCGTACTTCAAGCCCTTCTCTGGCAAGACACTTAAGCATTTGGGGAGCTCCTGTGACTATAAACTACGTAACTACCACAACTAAAATTCTGGATCTGATTTCAGTGCAAGAAATTGATTTGCAGCTGAGATCACAACACAAGCCTGCAAGTGCAGAATTCAGATGTGAATAATTCACAATAGGCTGTATCATATTCTGTTTTGTAATGCCTTTCCTTTAAAGGACCATCCTGTAGAACTGATGCACTCTTAGGATAGGTCCAATCACACACTTTTTGGCATACGGGGATATATTTTGGAATAGTGGTCCAGGGGGCAAAGAAGAAGAAATGTAAAACAATCCCAACAGAGTTACGCATACTGTAAGTGGAATGACAATCCATACAGAGAAAAAAAAAAGAACGCTTTATAAACAGCAGACACAAGGCTTCATGACAGTACAATGAATTGTACCCAGTGATACAGCATCATCACATCAGCTGTACAACAGTAGGCCTATACAAATCTATTTATAGCGATTTGGATTGCCTCTGTCTGAAGAGCTCCCCTGGATCTGAAGGGCTCTAGTTCAGCACAATACTTGATCACTTGCCTAACTTGGAGAAAACAGGTAGAACTTTGCTGAATTTATGTTTGAAAGCTTTGTGTCTGCTTGGAAACGAAATCACAAGTACTCTTGAGCTACTGGGAATTTAACTGATGCACTCTTCAAAGCTCGTAAGTGAACAATGATGCAGACAGAACAGCTGATGAAAACTTTTCCTTTTCCCTTTCACGTTCGTTACCTTTTCATTTTCTTTCCTTTTCGGTAACCTGCTATACTTTGCTATGGACACGTCATGTTCTGTAGACAAGGAATATTATTTTTTTTTAGAAATGTGATGTGTGTGTGCATAGATTAAAAATGTCTTCTGTGATAACAGGTGCACACCATTAGAAACAAACAAAACAGGGAAACATACCATTGCTAGCAAGGCCAAAAAGATCCTTCAATGTGCTTACTTCTGGAAAAGAGAAATCAAATATTCAAAGTAAAACCAGCTGTAAACACTTTGTTCAACTGAGACCATTTATGGCACATTTAACGCCTAAGTCACTCCAATCCTTTCAAAGCAGAGATGCATGAGTTGTGCCTGTCTTGAAAATCATAAAGCAGATCAGCTGCTAGAGAAATGAATAGGCAGACAGCAAATTAAGTCGCGTGAGTTTACTTGATTGAGCAAGTTATCACTATGAAAAAGATTCCTTATCTGCCAGCATAATTTACCCAAAGAAGCACCTTTTGAGTATGCTTGTTATGACAAAAGGCCCACCACTATCGTAAAAGATCGGCAGTTCTGAACAGCTTCCTGACAATACTTATGTGATACTGAGAAATCTAAGTCACAGCGACATATAAACTAAGCCCCTTTCCTGTACACGAATCTTCATCAACGTGGAACATTTTTTGCTAAGTTCCCCTGTGAAAAGAAAGATATATCTAACACATCTGACTGCTGGCTACGATGCTCATGTAACAAACACTGGCCATGAGTTTCTGACGCAGGCAGAAGGAAGAGAAAGTAAACAGGCGACTCAACTTTCACAAGTGTCGGGCACAAGCGACTCTCAGGGACCATACCAATGCATGCTGCAACTGGCAAAACCCTTCTCAAAAAGCTACACAGAAAGCACATTCACAAGAACAGACATTATGCAACTGTGAAAAGAATAAGGGTAAATTGTACAATGTCATCATGGTCTCTGATTATTTCTAACCACCTACACATTAGTCAACTTCATGCCACCTTTTTCTCCCCAGAACACTACCTCATGACTCTCATGCAGAAAGACAGAAATTCTTCCCAGGTGTGACTAACTAGTACCCAGAGGTTTCCACAGTATTCAATACATACACATAACAAGATTAAAAGTAAAAAACAAGAACATAGTTAATCTTCCTTGCTTAATCCTGTGATGAAATTTCAATATGGACAGGCCTCTACTAAAAATGCTGTTGTACAGACTGTGTCAGAGAAAAATGGAAGTTGTGATGGATGGATAGAACAAAAAAAGATTCTGACATCCAGGGAAGCTGAAGAAACTTTCATTTTTTGTTATGAAGCAGTTGAGGCTTTGGTTGCAGGCTTCACTTGCTATTGTTTTTTATTTTTAAATGTCTTCTTTTATGAACTTGGGGGCAGAATCCATAAAGATGGGAGCAGAAGCACTGTATCAGTAAAGGGACATTAAAGAGGTGGGAAAGTGTTTATAGAATCATGATCTTACTATCCAAATACTGCCTTATATTTGACATTATATTATAAACAAGACAACTATTAATTTCTCCACAATTTCTAATTAGATGCTAAGAGATATAAGAAGCCTTAACTAGTCACTACTTTCCTGTTGTTGCTTTGTATCCCATGATGTCTTTAAAAAGTACATAAACATGACTGAGCTTAGTGAGTTGAGAAGTGGGCTTTTTTTTTTTTTAAAAAACAAACAAACAACATGAAAACGGTTCAGTAAAAACTAATGTTTCTTTTCCATGAGTAGGTGAGAGTGTCCTTGACCTTGAGTATGAACTTCTTTCTTTTGAAATTACACCAAATATTTGCATTATTGCTCTGCTGTTTAAGGAACGAATTTCCAAGTTTGTGCAGTCAGGTTACTTGGAATTACCCTTGGATGGGCAAGGATTTAAAGCAGACTGAATCATTAAAAGGGAGGGAATATACTATACTCTGAAGTTAAAAAAAAAGGCATTGCTTGTGCTTTTCAAACAAACCCAAACTTCTGAAGTGAGATAAATACTGTTTGCAAGCCGGATTCACTGCTACATTTTCCTTCTTTAGGCCATTATAACATCAATGACTACAGTAAAATTACACTAATGTAAAAGCATGGTGACCCAACAAAGAACAAAGCTGTGTATTTTCAAACTTGCACCATATGGTGTATGAAATCTTATGTGGTGAACTTGCACTATTTAAGTCTCAGTAAAAGCAAGCACCTGTCAATGAAATTCTGTAGCAGAAAAAAGAAAAAACAACAAAAAACTTTTCTGTGAATCATCAAAGAACAAACTATTACATGACATGCCTCAGTTTATTATGAAATAAGCAAGAAGGAACACATAAGGAAAATTAAAACTTAAAATAAAATTTACCTGTGAGATCCTTTTCCCGAAATTGTATTATTGGTAGAACCATTGTATCTGCAAGCTGTTTTGCCAGCTCAGAATGAAGAATATTGAGCTGAAACAGAGAACAGAGGAATGCCCTAAGACACAATGTAAATAAATAAATAAATAAAACCCCAGCATCCTACAGCTGTTGAAGAAGCACACCTGCCATTTGTGCCCAGCAGACAAAAAAAAAAGCATATAATGCTTAAAATACATTTCTCAAGAGATGTGTGACAGATGGGGATTTTCCCCTAAATGCTTAATTCGTGTCTGGTGTTTTCCAAGGACGCAAACACTTTACTGTTCCCACACACTTTATTAGGGCAGTTCACTTGATCATTAATGCTAATGCTTAACACAACAGGATTTAATCTGTTATTAGCCTTTATTAACCAGTTTTTGTTAGTCTTTCCACCACAGGTTTACAGTGCCACTGCTATGACCAGAATCTCTTTCCATTCATGAGGGTTACCCGGGACACAACCACAACACGGGGCAAACACAACGAAGGTGCCATTCAGATATTTTACATTCAGAGCAGTTTCCCATTCCTGTTTTTGTGTTTCTCTAAAATTCAGCACATCGAGACATATTTTAAAGCACTCGTGTGACGCTGTTTAGGATGAAGGCAAGGCTCTCATGTCAGCAGTGGCATGCTAAGAGTATTAGATGGGCTCAGGTAGGACAACCATCAATCACACTGCTTGAGTGCCTGACGCTACAAACTCGGGAGTGTGCCACACACTGACACGATTTTCTGCCCGCTTGCTCGCTGTATCCTGGAAGCCTCTAGCAAGAGTTATGCAGGTGAGGATGAAGTCTGTATTTCCCACTGGACAATACAAAATTAAACCAGGAAAATTCAATGCCTGTAGAACAGACAACTGAGAAACAGGTACAGGGGGTAGCTAACGCACAGATAAAGAGGCTGAGGAATGGAGCATGTTCTTGCAAGGGAAAAAGTGATCAACAGAACTGAACAAAGAGGCTCTCGGCTTTCCGCTCCAAAATGGGATGGTTCTGTTGTACCTGGGAAAGTTCTTGGTTTTGATTTATTCGTAGTTCACATAAACAAAAACAAGACTTGTGACAATAAACGCTCCTTTGAAGTATTTCCTGAGAGCAGCTGTGCAGCACGGGAAGAGTAAGGGAAGAGTTAACATTTGGGATTCCTCTCACTACATTCATAGAACCATAGAAGACCTTAGGTTGGAAGGGACCTTGAAGATCATCTAGTTCCAGCCCCCCTGCCACAGGTAGGGACACTTCCACTAGACCAGGTTGCTCAAAGCCTTGTCCAACCTGGCCTTGAACACCTCCAGGGATGGGGCATCCACAACTTGCCTGGGCAATTTGTTCCAGTCTCTTACCACCCTCATAGTGAAAATTTGTTTCCTAATATCTATTCTAAATCTACCCTCTTCCAGTTTAAAGCCATTACCCCGCATCCTGTCACTATGTGCCCTGGTAAAAAGTCCCTCTCCAGCTTTCTCGTAGGTGCCCTTCGGATACTAGAAGGCCGCTATAAGGTGTCCCCATCACAGAATCACAGAATTTTCAGAGTTGGAAGGGACCTCTAGAGATCATCTAGTCCAACTCCCCTGCTAAAGCAGGATTGCCCAGAGCACATTACTCAGGACTGCATCCAGGCGGGTTTTGAAAATCTCCAGAGAAGGGGACTCCACAACCTCCCTGGGCAGCCTGTTCCAGTCCTTTGTCACCCTAACTGCAAAGAAGTTTTTCCGTGTATTGGAACGGAACTTCCTATGTTCCAGCTTGTGCCCATTGCCCCTCGTCCTGTCACTGGGAACCACCGAGAACAGTCTGGCTCCATCCTCCTTCAACCCACCCTTTAGATATTTGTAAGCA